CAGATTCTCCAGCGTCGGCAGTTCCTACTATCTCTATATAACTATGAATAGTTGGTAGTAGAGTGGAGCTTGAGAATTGCTGTAAAAGGGCACATTTTGTCAATGCTTTTTGTCTTGCACTCATCAGGGCATTTTGCAGGAATACCACTTTAATATTTTATTTGTACTGTATGATAGGAGAGTGATGCTTGATTGGCAAGTGAGCTCTGTTGAGAAAAGATATTGTCATGGAGAATGTAGCAGTTAATAATGATTGACAGTTAACACCCAGGCTTCATTTAAATATTAAATGAAGTAGGTTGCCTCAGATTGATCATGGCTTTGCCACGGGAAATGAACATGTGAATATTTTATTGCTTTGAAACAGGCACATGCTCTTTCTGTCTGTAAAGCATGAGAATCTATGTATTAATACATGTAGATTGTGGTACACACAAGTGTGCCACACCGCAAGACAGCCTGATAACTTTGAATCAGTTGTAAGTGAAATTTTTTGGACACACTCTATAAATGTAGGCCTTGCCTAGTACTGGTGATTAGACCCATAGGATCATAGAGTATAAGTCACAAAAACAGAAATAGGCCATTCAGCCCATTGAGCTTGTTCCATCATTCAATAAGATCATGGCGACTTGATAATCCTCACCTCCAGGAATGAAGAATATTAAAATTCATATTGTTATGAAAAAGCTCGTTGCAACAGACTTGTAACTTTTTTTTATAAGAAAGCAAAGAACTGCGGATGCTGGGAATCTGACACAGAAGCAGAAATTACTGGTGAAATTCGCCAAGCCTGGCAGCGTATGTGGAGAGAGAAAGCAGAGTTAACATCCAGTGAGGTTTTGAGTTCTGATGAAGAGTCAATGGAGTTGCAATGTTAACTCCACTTCCTTACCACAGATGCTGAGTTTCGCCAGAATTTATGTTTCTGTGACTTTGTTAATGCAGGTCAGTGGGTCTGGTTCAGTTTAGGATAGCAGGTCAGCACAGACGAGTTGGACAGAAGGTTGTATGTCTCTATGACTTGCATCCTTGTTTCCGGAATGGGCAGCAAGTTCAGTACCTACTTCGGTGACTTTTTTTCCTTTGTGCCAGATAGTCTTTATTCGGCACGGAAACGTTTCACTGAAAGACGTTCTCGACATGATTCAGAAGTATCACCTTGTGCGGAAATAGCTTCGGTCTGGGGAAGGGAAGCAATGTGATTTTGCCCAATGACAGTATTTCACAGAACTCCAGGGCCTTGAAAGCCGTGAACCAGGACTTTGGAGCATGTACAGATAACTAATTTGCATGAACTGCAGGTAGATCTGTGCATAATCTTCTTGAAATGGCAGAGTAAAGTTACAGCCCTTGACGGATAATTGGCAGTGATGCATTAATGCAGAGGCTTTGGAATTTCACAGGACGTTGTCGAGCCGCAAAGATACAGACCTCTTTATCAAAAGCCACTAAAGTCCAGCAATAGCATAAATAAACATGCAAAAGTAGATGCTGAACAGATGTTGGCATTAAGCGTCTCATTGTCATTGATTTTTACAGCAAAATAATTGCAGGGTTGCAGTGAAGCTTTGGTACATTGTGAGCGAAAACTGCATTGACTCAAAAAATAATTTGAAACATCGCGTTGTGTTACCCCTTGGAAGGTCTATCTGTGCTGTGCTGTGAATAACAAAGAAAAGTAGACTTCTGAGCAGAAGTCAAACTAATTTTTTTTTCTCCTTATTTTGCCTGTCTCAGTGAAGCTCTTGTGTAACAGAGGCACCCACAGAGTATAATACCTGGGCAGAGAAAAAGAAGTAAAGTTATCAGACTAAAAACAAAATTTATGTTGGATCATTTCACTCAGAAAAGTTGAAAAGTATCTCCTTTGTTATCATGATAAATAGTTATATTGCTGACTGGTCTAAGCAAGATTAATAAATGGTGGCACGGTGACAAGTGATTAGCACTGTTACATCACGGTGCCAGGGACCCGAGTTCGATTCTAGCCTCAGGCAACAGTCCATGTGGAGTTTACACATTCTCCCCATTTCTGCGTGGGTCTCCTCCGTGTGCTCTGGTTTCCTCCCACCAGTCCAAGGTTGTGCAGGTTAAGTGTTTAGCCATGCTAAGTTGCCCACAGTTTGTTCAGGCAGGCTCAATGGATTAGCTACATGAAATGCAGGGTTGTAAGGGTAGGGGAGTGGGTCTGGGTACAGGGATGCTCTTTGGAGGGTTGGTGTGGACTCGATGGGCTGAACAGCCAGTTCCCCCCCTGTAGGAATTCTTAATGAAGGGGACTTTTAACAGAAAGAAAATGGATAGGTTTGGGCCAATTCTGGGTTGTTGGAAACAAAGGGGATGAGTTGTATTTTTCTTTATTCATTCATGTGATGAGGGGTGTTGCTGGCCAGGCAGCATTATTGCCCATCCCTACTTGCTCAGAGGACAGTTAAGAGTCAACCACATTGCTGTGGGTCTGGAGCCACATTAGGCCAGACCAGGTAAGGATGGCAGTTTCCTTCCCTAAAGGACATTAGTGAGTTTTTCCCGACAATCAATGATGGATTCATGGTCTTCAGTTCGACTTTTAATTCCAGATTTTTATAAAAATTCAAATTTCACCATCTGCCATAACAGGATTTGGGTCTGTGTGGGATGCTGTGAGGGTCGGTGTGGACTCGTTGGGCCAAAGGTCCTGTTTCCACACTGTAGGGATTCTATGGTTCTATGAACCTGGTGTTGCATGACTCCTGACTTTTTCCACCCCAGTACAACGCCAGCACCTCCACATCATGGCTACAATTCTTTTCATGAAGCCTAGTGAGATCTCTCATTGGATCAACCTCAAACTCCCACCATTATCCCACCCTCATAATACCCCTTGTGCTCCAATTCTAGCCCCATTCTACCACACTCTGTACCTGAAACAATTCACCACTGCCAGATTTACCATGCAGTGATGAGTTTTTCTAACCATAAACACAGTTGGCATTGGATGAGAGGAGCACCATAAGGGCAGGGTGAGTATTTACTGAAATGGGATGTTAGTGCGAGAAAAAACGCTGGGCCTCATGTGGAAAAACCCTCCATGAAACGCGATGAACGTGGAACGTGGCTTAAAAACAAAACAAGATTCTGCCTGGAATCTCTTTCTCAGCAATGACCCGTCCCTTTCGTTGAAACCAGAAGTGGATGAACAACTAAAATCAGTTTCAGACGATGAGTCGCAGCTTTAAACACGACGATGAGAGTACGAGCCTCATGATCATGCAGGTTTTGAAATGTAACCGCCAATGACTGGCTTTCCTGAGCCATGAGGTGCCTGGCAGCTTCCGCGAGGAGTGGTCTCGGCAAATAATCTTCACACCTACTTCTTGTGTCCAGCTAGGAGCCTCTGAGGTCAGGCTGAAAGCCTCTAGCCCACCCTCATGCTCCAGCAGGCCCCTTGATCTCCCGTGAGGCCCCCCTCCCTCCCTCTCAATTCACTCCTTCCTCCACAATTGCCAGTGCATCTCTCCTGCAATTAGTTTTTGCTTTTTTGCCCCATTCATCGCCCATCCCTGAGTGCCACAGAGCAGTTGAGAGCCGACAGAACCAGGTGGGTTTCTCCTGACAATTGACAATGGTTTCATGGTCCTCATTAGACTTTTTAATTCCAGGTTTTTATTGAATTCAAACTCCACAATCTGCCATGGCAGGATTTAACCCAGGTTCCTAGAACATTACCTGGGTCTCTGGGTTAAAAGTCAGACAATAACGTCACTAAGCCATCACTTAGTACGCACTGAGTACTCCAATAATTGCCCTTGCCGTACCCCCTCCGATCCTACCCTCCACCCCTACCCTGATTAAGCAGCATTCCCAACTGCCCACACATTGCTCACACCCAGCTTTCTAACTGACCCAATACCTTGTGGATCAGATCAGTGGAAGTTTTATCCAAGCTGTTAACCACAACCCCCAAAGTCCTCTAGGCTTTCTTCTGTGGAACCTTGCCACTGATCCTTCATTCTCTTACGTCTCACCTTCACATTCAACTACAATGTTGCAGATCCAACTGTATCGCCACTGACATTTAGTGAGCCTTCATGCGCCTGTAGCCACAGTCATTGGGTCCATTTAGTCTGTTCAATGCTCAGGAAAGGTTATTAAACCCTGGATATATCCTGTTTCAGTCCAATGAGATTGTTCACCTGTTGTGAGCCAATGATCAATGTCAGTGACAATGCACCTCCCTCACTACCATATTAAAGTGTCATCTGTAGTTATACAATCCAAATCTGGCAGGAGCTTTAACCCACAGTCATTCAGACTGAAAGTTGAGAGCTGCAGTCTGTTCCAGGCTAATATAATTCACTGCTGTCCTGAAGAAATGTTTGGTTATGATACAGTGAGTTAAAAGGCAAAGTGGCCTTGCTGCTGTCTCATTGAGACAGAGAGACAACTGAGTGAGTATCAGTAACTCTTTAATACCTACCCCAGAGTCCTGAGAAGGGGCCAACAGTTCATTTAACAAGTGATCCGACTTGGTTTCTGGAATTCTGTCTGCCAGCTGGGTCTTTGAATACATTCAAGACTGAATTAGTCAGATTTTTGAACTTGTAAAGGAGCTAAGTGTAATGGGAGCCAGGCTGGAAAGTGGAGTTGATGCCAAGATCAGATAAGCCATGATCTCACTGACTGACAGAGCAGGCCTGAGGGTCCTTAAAGCCTCCTCCTGCTCCTATTCCTTAAATCCTGAAGAACATTATCTGAGACAACGAGAAGCTGCCAAACGTGTAAGCTGCAGTTAATTCTGACTATCGATCACGTTGTCACAGAATATTATCAAAGCTATACAAGTATTATTTCTCCCCACAACATCAGTTGATCCTGATGATAGTACCACACCGTCATTGTTCTACTTGTCTGTTTCGTCTGCCATATCACCCACGATGTAGATGTCATAATTATTTTTAAAAAAGTAATATTTGCCAATGTTGGTAACATGTTCTTGTTTCCATTTTCACCTCTAGAATGACTCCATTCCGCAAGAAAGTTTCACAACTGAAGTATTCCAAGCTTTCTTGAATAACATCTGTCCTCGGCCTGAAATTGACGTCATTTTCTCGGAATAGTAAGCATTTTCTTTCCTTGTTAGGTTTAACATTGGACGTTTGGGAAAATGCCTCTGACCTCTATGTTTGGTTTCAAAACATGTACAACATGTAAAAGATAATTGGACAGGTACATGGATAGGTAAGGTTTAGAGGGATGCAAGCCAAATGCGAGCAAATGGGACTAGTTCAGTTTAGGAAACCTGGTTGGCATGGATGATTTGGGCCAAAAGGCCTGTTTCTGTGTTGTATGACTTCAAAATGTTTGTGCAGCTGCGTTATTGGTGACTTATATATATATAACAAAAATCCTTTGTGTCTTGTCCTGTGTGACATAAATACTGAAACTGCGTCTTGTGCTTCAGGCTTAGGCAATCAGCTGGAATTTGCTATAGATAGGATTGTGAAAGGAATGCAGAATGCTGGAGAAGCTCAGCAGGTCTGCCAGCATCTGCACAGAGAGAACAGAGTTAATGTTTCAACTCCTGAAGAACTCACACCAGACTCATAGACAATGAGAGGAGGTCCGGAGTGGCGTTTTTGTCCCAACATGGAGGCCTTGTCCCATTGTGGAGGTCTTCTTTGGCGGCTTTTGGGTATTCCAGCAGCCTGGTGAGAAGGTCCAGTCCTGGTGGGGAGGTCTCATTTTGGCATGCTGGCCTTGTCCCTTCTTCATAGGCAGCTTGCAGGTCTTCCAGTTGCAGCGTAGAAGTCTAGTCCTGGCGTGGAGGCCTTGTCTTGGCCTGGCATGGTGGTCACAGCCTGGCATGGAGGTCTCAGCCTAGCATGGAGGTCTTGGCCTAGGGTGGTGGTCTCAGCCCGGCGTGGTGGTCTCATTCAGGCCTGGCGATCTCAGCCCAGCCTGGAGGTCTTGGCTCGGCGTGGTGGTCTCAGCCCGGCGTGGTGGTTTCATCCCAATGTGGTGTCTCGGCCCGGCCTGGAGGTCTCGGCCCGGCCTGGAGGTCTCAGCCCGGCATGGTGGTCTCAGCCCGGCGTGGTGGTCTCAGCCCAACGTGGTGGTCTCAGCCCAGCCTGAAGGTCTCAGCCCAGCCTGAAGGTCTCGGTTCGGTGTGGAGGTCTCAGCCCGGCGTGGTGGTCTCGGCCCAGCCTGGTGATCTCGGCCCGTTGTGGTGGTCTCGGCCGGGCGTGGTGGTCTCGGCCTGTCCTGGAGGTCTCGGCCCGGCATGGTGGTCTCAGCCCGGCCTGGAGGTCTCGGCCCGGCTGGGTGGGCTCGCCCCGGCCGGGAGGTCTCAGCCCGACTGTGATGCTTCGCCCCGC